GCCATTATAAAAACTAGTAGTTACTCAACTTCTCATAAATGAAAAAAAAAAAAAATCATCTTGTGATAAAGCACACACATCTTATCTTACAAAAAATATCAAACTGTGATACATCACAAATCAGACTTACCTAGTCATGTAAACAACATCAACTTTGTTATACAGAAAATATCAGTGCTAGAGTAATTATGAAAACAGCAAAGCTACTGTACACATCCTCTTGTATATACAATATGAGGTACAACTCATTATATATAAAATAAGATCAATGCTGCTATATAGCTTGAATTATTCTCATTCACACATAACATCAACTGGTGGTGTAAAACACTTACTTTATCATAAACATACATATATATTATGAGCCAATACTACATCAAAAATCAGACTTACTACCTTTTTGAAAGCATTAATAAAACATACAATAAAAGTCAATACTTACTTTATCACGTCATAAGTATCGATTAATGCTATGAAACTGTCTGGAAAAGCAGCAGCATATGAAACAAAAGCAGCTAACTCCCCACTGCTAGCTTCATCACTAAGAATGTGAAGAAATCCAGAAAGTTCTGACAGCCACTTCTGGCAGATGGCCATTAAGTCCTTTACTTCCCCTGTTGTACGATGAGTCAATGTCTGAAATACAAAAGTCATAAATATGTTTGATTTCATCATATAATAGTTGATGATACACCAAAATATATTCATGCTGTTGAAAAAGTAATTAACTTATTTCAGTGTATAAACTTACAGCTGTGGATTAGTAATAACAACTTACAAAAAGCTGGAAAACATTGCTGAAAGAGTTTCAATATTAAGTACAGGACATACAATACACAAGGAACAGATACTACAGCAGTTTAATGTGAACTCACCTTCAAGTTACAATCTTCAGTTGAAGAGAAGGACATGACAAATGCATGGGCATGAGTACCTTTAACTGGTATATTGAAAAGTTTACCTGCCAAAACGTTACTAGTTCCATCAAATCCTAGGGTAACAAAAAAAAAAAAAGAAAAGAAAAGAAAGAAGCTCTGAATGTTATGTCTATTTCAACTAGTGTTGAATTCTATCAGTATGAAATGTATTATTCTTGAAAACCTTTGTTGAAGTTACTAGTATATCATATATATTCATCATGTTTTAAATACTTTCTAATGATATCAAGTATAATTCCTTTGAAAATTTGTTAAATACAATGTTTTTGTGTAATACAAATTTTAAAAGTAAAAAAAACTAAATATCAAGGACTGATTTAACTGTTTGCCAAGAAAAAAACAGTTTTCATACACGTATTGACTACAAAAGCAGCTTTTGTTTGCTTTATGTCCAATAATGCAAAACATTTTATTCTATATTTCTGGGCCATTTAAAACATCCAACAGCCTTAACCACATTTTGGTTTGAACTGCCACAAGTTAAATAAACCCCAAAAAATTAATATACTTAAGCAAAAAATCATAGATTTGTTAGCCTTTTCTTATTTAAATATTACATTACAATAACTCACTAACCTCTTTTAAGATGAATAAGCCTTAATGACCTACAATGAGAATGCTTGTGACTTATGATAATAACACTACATACAGAAAAGAAACTAAATTAACATTAAGAAGAGCATTAGTTATACTTCTTTTCATAAATTAATATTTTAACTTTTTAAGAAAGCAATTCATTAAATAAACATTCTGTAAAGCTTCCATATTTCTACTGGTAAAAGTGCTGAGTGAACAGTTAACTGACTAATAAGCCACAAAATAAATTAATATATGTCTGTGTGTTTATTACCTTAATCATGTGAATAAATGAAAATTATAGGAGGAGGAGGAACAAAAAAATCTATATGCGTTTAAAAAACTACTCAATATACGCTTATTATGGAGAACCATCAAACCAGATGATGGTAAAATACTATTTATTCATAGATTTGAATTCAAACAAAGACTCAGGTGTAAGTATAAGAATCTACAAATAAATTGCAATAACACAGTTGTCTAGAGTAGTTATTATATAAAGAAACCAGAGTATGATTTAACAACCTGCAGCTTTTTACAAAATAATGGCAAAATTAAGCTCTAGTATGCCATCTCAACATGGCTTGCATACCAAAAAAAACAATAAAATCCTTCTATCACAGCAATGAGATGTTTAACTCTTTTTCGCAAGACACCTATTACCAGTGCAGTAATACAGATATTATAATATTTATACCAAAACCTTTTTATCTCACGTTTGGTAGAAAACTGATGTTTTCAAGGTGCAAAATAAGTTAATCTCTCAGCACGGGCTCGACCTAGTAACTATTTTGTGCTTGTTATAGTTTTCATGCTATAATTTTGAAATTGGTAAACATATCTTCACAAAATTTTGCACATTATCAGTAAACATAAGGCTTTCATACATAAAGTATTAGACTTTTTTTTACAAAGTTTTAAGATTTATTAAGCAATTTTTTTCTTATACTATTTTTCTTTTTGAATGTTGACTATCCAATATGCAAAGTAATTTTCATTTTAAGATTAAAAATACTTTTTGCATCAGGAAATTTTCAAATTTCACATGTGAAATCTTTATAATCTCTACATTATCAAACTTTTTTTCACTACTGTACTGAGTCAACTTGACCAACCTTGTAACCACCATAAAAATTAAGAACTACATATAAATTATTCTTTTTTCATTCTAGCATGACTACAAAGTATGACAAGAAAACACAAAAGTTAGTCTAAATAGCTTAAATCTCATAACATTATACATTTATATTTATTATATTGACCTTTCAGTTATAATACATTCTATATATATATTATTACTATTTACAAATAAGTTATTAAACTTATTTTTCTTAATACACATAACAGTAAATAAAGAAATATAGCAAACAATTATCTCTTTTAGTTACAAACTTTGTACTTGTTTACTGCTTGCCATAGGTTGCTAAGCCTTACCAAATTTTGCATGTGGAGGATATGAAACAAAATATTTTTTTTAGGTTTTATATATACATTTTGAAATAACCAAAAATCATAAATTACTACATCAATACCACAGAATTCCACTATAATTTATCAAGCTTAGTAACTAAGCTGTATTTTAGGTTCTAAAAAAAATTAAATTTTTAGCTGACTAATGTCTTACCTTACCACTTGGAATCTAGCATGAAAAGAAAGTTTGCCATGCAAATACTTTGCAGAGGCTGAGAAAACCACTAGGGGACATTTCGAGCTTTCAATTAGTTACACATATGTCACTGGGCAAAGTAGGTGTACACCAATAAGTTTTTCAAAAATTGAAGAAGTGGGTGGGGCCATCTTGGTTGATAGGAGGTTCTTATTTAACATACTAGCATGTCAGTATTGGTAATTTGAGTATCTAACATGTAAGAAACTATAGACTTTGTATTTGGACATCACAAACATCTAATTTGAACTGATGCTGCATTCAACATACCACGTGACACACAAAAATAGATATTTAACATTTCTTTTTAATATTTACTTTTAAATTAAAAAATTAACTAATGTATAATACTAAAAATCAATTATAATCTACAATTTAATACCAAACTTATTGACATACATTCATAAAATAGTATTTCAATAAAATTTTGAATGCCAGTCAACAAACGTGATGACATGGCCTTTGACCCACGATGGTAGGGTTTGAGAAGTTTGCATTATAACTACACATCAGCAGTTCTCAACTTGAAAGACATCTTTCACCAAACCAGGTTTATTATGTTCATGCTTACGCTCTACCAAAGTCTTCTCTATCCATCCTTTATTATGCACTACTGATATCAGTACAAGTGCTACACAACTAGATAATAATAATAATACATAAAACACCTGTTTAAGACTGGTCACAAGATGTACATCAGCCACACCTACAAAAGTCCTATTACACCTTATAAGTCTCAGTAGCATTTATAGAATGTCAACAGCACATACACGAAAAATTCTGCATTAGAGTCTTGCAGTGTAAAAACCATGCATTCCATCATCAAGCCCTGCCCTTTTCAATTGGGTGCCTCAGAACACATATACGAAATAATTCCCCACCAGATTTCATATTTCCTCATGTGGAATAAAAATTTGGCACCCCTGGCATCTGTGGAAACCAGCCTAGACAGAAAATTTAGAGAATGGGCAGAGAATGAAGCTAAAAAGGTCTGTCAGAACTTATTAAAAAACCACGGTGGACAGTAGCTATATGTAGTTTGTATAGCAAAGCCAGGGAGCGAGAGATGGTTGGATATTCATCATTTCATGGAGCAACAACATTTTGCATAAGACTGGTGGAATAATCAAACATGCCACAAGCAGCACAAAGATAGTGCTGGAAGCTACAATTCTAGATAGATGGTAGAAGGTAAAGCAACTGCATGATAAGACCATCACTGATGTATTTGCCAGGTCATGCAGGGTTAAGGTAAATGAGGAAGCTAACAAGCTCACAGAAGATGCCCTTTTCTCAAATCCAACACAACTCTACTGGTAGGATACTGACCACTTCTGTACAAATAAGATGAAAGTGGTGACCACAGAAGGTATTCAATGACAAGCGAAATGAGACTTCTGGAAGAAAACATACATTATGGTGTATCTAGGAAAAACAAAATATAGGAAATAAACAGAACAGTGTACAGCCAGAAAGCCACAGGTAATATCAGTAAAGGAAGTCTCTTTTACCTCCTGTGAGATCTACGTGGAAGCTGTCAGTCTAAGGTCAGCTCAACCCTGGGATTATCACCTTTTACTCAACTCATCATGGAAGACATTGCTCATAAACACACACATTATTTGATTAAATTGATCAATATGTTAGTAAGTTTTGTGCAAATGTATAATTAATCTTTTGACCCAAATGAAGCAATTTTATGAAAAGCTGTCCTAAATAAATTTTAATTTTATCTTTAGTAAAATTTCCAAAAGTATTAAATATTTTCAACAATGTATGTCAGTCCTAGTGCTGTTCAAAGCTACATGTGCATATCTAATTCTAGAGAAAAGGAAAGTTAGTTATTTAAGAAAAGTATTCATGTATAGTAACATAACAAAATTTCACTTTATAAAACTAGATTAACTTTTGTATAAAGAAGGTGTAATACTATGAAACTGAAACAAAAATGGAATAAAATAATGTTCATAATATGAAATTCTTCATATAAAAGTAATTTCAATTATAAAGTGTTGACAGTGCCACGTGAAAGTAAATTGCAACCTAAAATGTAAAAGCAATTGGAGCTGATGTATTGAAAAATTAAAATTTGATGGTTTATATACTAACCTCCCATATAGGCATACTTAGATGCAGATAGCCCACCATCTGGTCCTTGAGCCCGACGTAATCCATACTCTAGCAGCTTGATATGTTGCCCAGCAGCTATCCTAAACCTGGCTGCATTTGTAGCTACAAGGCTGTAAGTTAAAATAATAATAATGATTGAATTTGTAATTACACAACTGAAGGTTTAAAAGAAATTAAAAAATATAGAGAACTCCAGTAGTGAAGAAGTGACAGCATTCTTTGCAAAATTTTTCAATTCTGGTGAGATAACAATACACAGCCTTGCCTTACAAAGTGATTTGTTAGGGTTAGATTATGTAGGTACTACAGAATGTGATGGACAGGTTAGTTGGTTGTTTGGTGCTTTATGGCACAAAGCAACGAGGCTATCTTATGCCAAACAACTGCTAAAAACAGTAAAAGTAAATTAAAGTCAAATGTAAAAATACAGTGAGTTAAAACCAAAATATGTTGATAAAAGATTTATATATAAAAGACCTATAGTGTATAAAAAATTAAAAATACAATCTAATCGGACAGTGTCACCATTACCAATGACACTGTTCAATGTCAGGGGTAAACTCTTAGAAAACATGTGTCTAAAATGATGCCACTGACCACGGTCATAACGATGGCACGACAGTAAAATGTGGGCTATTGTGACTTGAGTGTCACAATGGCTATACATCAGTGGGTCAATACCTGATAAAAGAAAACGATGGGTTAAAAAACTGTGACCAATGTGCAACCTTGACAAGAGAAGTCTATAACATGCATCACATAATCCAAATATTGTGTTTGTATGGGAATAATGGAATAAGAGGCAGGAGAGAAGCTACTTAGTACAGAGAAGCAGGCTAAAATAAAGGTTAGAAAAGAGACTGTCTAAAAAAATTCAACAATGCAGAATATTTGGAGGAGGAGGAAAATGATCAATGATGGTTTAGTCTCCATAAATTAAAAAAAAATCAAGAGGAAAAACTGTAGAGAACAGGAAAATCTTGTGTCAGGTTTCCTAATGGACTACTATATTATGTTAGTTTTTAAACTCTTATAACATATTTAAATTTATTTTTTTTTACTAAATTATAGCTAAAGTCAATAGTACAATTAGAAGTTGTTTATAAATTATACTGTATTTTCAAGACAAATTGGTGCCTAAAACATGAATTTGTAACATGAAGCCATGTACTAATATTTTTGTGAACATTTCTTTCAAAAATGGGGTGGTACCACAAAAATTCATCAAGTCTCATGTCACTTCAAAACAGTGTGCTGAAGTCATTTCAGTAGAATCTTCAAATAAGCCATAAATCAGGATGATTGTGTCCATTAGTGATATAACTTAAGCATATTCACTCAAACAGATGAAAGATCTCTCGGAAATACATTTTCAGTATATGTAAATTATAACTTTCGATACAATACCTTACCTCCATTTCCATAATAGCTATAATTCAACATTAAACAACAACAACAAGAACTAGAGAGAGAGAGAGAAGAGTGTAGGCAGAGAAGAGAGGAAGAAAGACTAAAAGAAGAAAATGAGAAAAAGGAGAGGCTGGAAATAGAGAGAATGAGAATACAAAAAGTGAGGGAAGAGACTACAAATGAAAAAATAAGAGCACAAACTGATATCACCAAATTCATCCAACAGAAAGAAGAAAGACCCAAGAATGACAATGGAGTCATGGCCAGCTGACCTAAGTTGCCAAAATTTGATGAACAGAAAGATGACGTGGATGCTTTCCTGGAGAGATATGCAAGATTCGCCCAAAGTCAGAACTAGGACAAAGGAAAAGGCCTACAAGTATATGCAGGCATGACATCAGAAGATGCCATGGACTATGACATATTAAAAGTGGCTTTGCTGAAAAGATACAAACTTATTGAAGAACGTTTTCGTCTGAAGTTCAGTGAAGTCAAACCTGACACTGGAGAAACTGTATTTCAGTTTGTGGCTTGTCTATGGCAGATCTACTAATATGAGAACAGTTCATGATCACATGCACCAAAAAATGTGGAGGAGATGACCAATCTGGCAGAACAGTATATGGAAGCCCATGGAGAGAGTATAACTGACAAGTCCAAAAATATCCAGTTAAAGTCAAAAACAGTGATGGCTGACCAGAAGCAGGAATTTACTAAGGGCGACAGGAGGTTAATAGACAGAAGTGAGAAAAGATGCTATGTTTGTTATAAAATAATGCACATTGCAAAGGAGTGCAAGTCCATTACCAGTAAGCAACAGCTGAAATCTAAATATAAAGCAGTTGGAGCTACTTACGAAAATAGTGCTGGTAAGCAACAAGAAAATAGTGACTGTCACCATGGATGCTGCTGCCAGAAGAAACAGAATCAAGACAATTCATCAGATTCACCACAAGAAGGAAGTGTCATTTCCATGCTCAGCTCAAGTTAGCAAATGGATCAACAGTGCCAGTAGTGATCGTAGCATGTTACAAATGTCAAGGTGCCAACAAGTCATAACATGCCAATATGTGAAGGCTATGTTAGGGACAAGAAAGTGAAGGTTCTGCAAGATACAAAGAATAGTCTTTGAATATTGGGTAAAAAAATATTAGAAATATTTTTCTTGAAGAGGGGGCTTATTATTGGATATACAAGATGGTTTATTGTAGGAATTATCAATTAATTAATTTTGTGAGTTAATATTTCATGATTGTTTATTTTTTTTCATAACAAGAGAGTTAAAAGCAATTATTTTAAAGGTGATAATTATGACAAATTTGGTTATATAGCCCGGTAAGAGTTGCATGTTGTATTTGCAATTCATTGGTATCAAGGCTACAGAAAGTTCTAGAGGCCTCAGTGACAAACATAAATAGTGGTGACCAAACGACCAGGAGTGGATAAAAAGTAAAATGTTAAGGAATAATTCTTTTTTTTTTTTCTTTTTATATCATCTATTCATAAATACAGTACTATTTTTTCAGAATATGGTATAATACATTTACAAAAGAAAAATATCACAGATTTGTTGTGGGCTATCATATGTTTATATTTGATGTCATATTTAAGTGGAAGAATTGAGTTATTATAAGGGATGAAGGACTGTGAGTAAGAATATTTTTATAAACACTTCAAGCATAATTTTTTACGTTTTTGTTTGTAACACTGGATAAAAAGAAAAAGTCTCAAACTTGAAAATAAAAAAACAAAGAAAGAAAAAGTAATAGCTGAACACTGAAGAACTGACAACATACAAACACTGGTATATAGGCAAATGTCTAACAGAAAGTAGAGACATTACTCGTAACCAAGGGAAGGATGATAACCATAAGGAAGGGAAGAAAAATTTTATTTTTTCTCTCCTCTTTGTAGCTTTCTCTGTTCAGCTTGCAAGAAGGTACTAGCCAATGAGACATAGAGAATCTTGGCACTACAGAGTACCAACTCCTACAGACAAAGTTTCTGTATGTTAAACAATCTTGAATAATGTAAAATAATATGATCTATTATACTACTACTGTTCCATTCTGTTATTAGAACTCTCTATTGTACTTTGTGAAACAATACAATGTTTAGTATTACACTTGGAAAACTTGTGTGTGTTGTTCATTAAGAACAACATTACCATAACATAAAATTTACTTATTATAATCTGATTATCTGAATAATGATTTTTTTTATAAGCATTACATCGCACTTAGCCTGAAAGACAGTTGCTTTTACTTCAAAAGAACAATGTAAGGTTCGTTTTTGTGAACATTTTTTTAGCCTTGGATGCTCATGCAACAGCTCCGAGTTTGTTGTTTTTGTTTTTTCAAATACAAACTTGTAGCTAAAAGCTCCATCATATCTTGACCGATTTGAGATCTAATTACAGTTTTAGACTCAGGAGGTTAAGCCCTTTAAACTGATGTATTTGTCAATGCCCAAGGTCTCATAGATTAATTTATTCTAATCCTGCCTAAAAGGATTTCAATTTGAAGGTAGGCTGGTAGAGATCCTGACGAGTAATAAATTTGAATCGGGTACACACTTGGTATTGCTGGCACACAAAAATATAGCCAATAAAAAAGGGAAACAAAGGTCTCATAGATTAATTTACTCTAATCCTGCCTAAAAGAATTTCAAGTGCAACGGTTATTGACTTGTTCATCAGTATTTACTTTCAAAAGACAATATATGTAATAGTACATTAGATTGCTAAACAACCAAGATAAGATTGAAAACACATCCTACAGTTGTATTTGTCTTTAGTAAGAATAAAATAACTATATTCACAGGTACTCTTTAAACTTATAAAACAGAAGTACAAATCAATATCACTGAAACAAAAAACAAAAAACCCACCTTGCATAATTCACCAAGGTAAGAAATGTTGTTTCCAAAAGCTGGACAACAGGCAAAGGTCCTTCTACCCTAAGTAAGGGAATTTTAGGAAATACAACTGACCCTTCTGGTATGGCATAGACAGTGACATCTTTTGGAGAAAGTTGGTGCAGGTAGGTGAAAAAATCATGTTCAACTGTTGGAGGCAATGCTGACTTCAGGTATTCTATATCTGAAAAAAAAACCAAAAAACAAGGCTCTAAATTAATACTAGGGAACTATCAAATTGTTGGTTAGAGTTGCAGTCTTGCTAGAAAAACTTGGAAGGCACTAGAAAAAAAATTACAGCATAAATAAGGAAAATCATTTTTACTAACAAGACTGTTTTATTTGTCAGTGCCATATCAGTTTTGCAATTCCAACTGAGCTGTATGGTACAACTAAGCAAAATATCAGTAAATTGGGATAACAAAACTGTAGCTTCACTTCAATCAGCATACAAGCTAATAGCATGATTAGATATATTGAGTCAAGCAGTTCTTCACTGAAGGTAATAATGAAATAGAAATTACAAACTATATATATATTTTTTTCACATAATTTATCCATGATTAACACAAATGTTAGGTATATTGGCTTCTAATATTTTGCCAGCTCTTGGAATTTAAACCATATATCTTAATAACAAAATACTTTTTTTTTATTATGGGATAGCCATCAGCAGTGATATACTGTAGACTTTTCAAATTCGATGACGAGGAACACACTTTGAGACTAATAATGGCTGGAGACTTTGTCGATCCAGATGTGGGGACCTCAATACACCAGTTTTAGCCCTACTTGAGCATCTTTAAACTTTTGTGAAATAATTAAAATAAAAACTCTGTTACATACATTAAATAACTGATTATAAAACAGGTACAGTTAATTTTAAAAATAATAAGGTTGTTGCAAGTGCCTTCTAAATTTATGGTCGAGGACTGTAATGTCAGATATACATTTCTTGTTACACACACTTCTAGATATTTACTTACAAAAATACATATTAAAAACTACAGAAAGTTTCTGAAAGTTAGAAGAGTCATGTAAAAATAAATTATTATTATTATTATAGCCATTTTTATGTAATGAATAGCAAATAATCTTTACAGGAATATACATATAAATACAACCACTGCATACGACAGAAGTGCTGAGAGTATGATTTCAGATATCTCCAAGTTGGTTGTAAATGGTGTGTGAAGAATAATTCATTAAAAATAGTAAGAAATGAAAACAGAAGTAATCAATTAAATCATGATCTGATTAAAGTTAGTAATATTTAGATAAAAACAAAAACTGAGAAAAACTCATAGAAAATTATGAATTCTACTAGAGATCTTCTGATCTAATAAAGTTGTATGGTATTGAAAGGTGTCATTTCTGAGATTACATTTAATAGTGTGCACAAGTTAGTGGCCTATCTATTGTATCTAAACAAAAATCATATTTGTAGTTTTAATTCTGATATATTTAAAAAAAAGAACTTGGTTTAAAAATTTACAATATATACTAATGGTAGAACACAGGACATACAAGTACATACTGAACTAAATCCTATAGAGCATGATAAGTGTGCATAAATAACAAAAAAAGAATATGCTATTGCTCGAACAAATGCTCTTTTCAAATACTGATTACATCATTTCCAATTGTTCATTAAAAAAAGAAAACATCCTTCACAAACAAATTGCAATCATCACAAAGAAACTTACCACTATGACTATAATTAAAACTTTGTAGAAACTTTAAACACTCATCAAGGCCTGCAAAAACTGTATATTCACCATGGAATGGGTTCTTTCGGAAAAATAAATCAAACACTGCATAATTAGAGCACATGCCATTTTTCCAATATGCATATGCCATGGTTATTTGATACAAGTCTGAAAAAAAAGAAAGAAATATTATATGATTAACTAGTACACATAAAAACAAAGATAAATATTCTCTAGCTATGTAGCAAAACTACTGTAAAAAAAAAATTGTATACACAGAAATGAATAGCTTTGTTATTTGGTAAAATATGATAAACATAATAAAAAAAGGAAAAATGGAAATCAGACAATGATTATCAGTGTAAAATTAATATTTTAGAACTTAAAGATACTGAGATATTTTTTTTAAATTCTGATAGTGATAGAAATGGAGAGTTTTCTGATTGGGACTTGAGCCCTAAGAACTCAGTTTTTAGTCCATTGGTCTCAGAATACTAGTGTGAAACGAGAGTCCAGGGTTCAAGCCCCAATCAGGGTAAATTTCTTAACACCTTGATAAGTTGGACTCTTAATTCTACTTGGAGCTGTTCTTCTTGGTGAGGCTCTATAGATCTCTTCACTTTCTACCCCTGTTTTGTGATCCTCAGTTTATAATTTTGTACCCTTACAAAAGTTTCACTTCTCTGAAAATTCGCATATGTACTAAAACACCTCTCATGTCTCCCATATTTTAAGTACTAAGCTCATCATAAATTCAACAGTAAAATACTTTTACTTGACTTGCTACTGTACTACCCAACTTTTATTGTCCCATTTTCTTAATGAACTCATAAATAGGAGAGAAGAAAAATGAGAGATATGACCTTATACAGCAGTTCAAACATAACCTTTTGTTGGTTCTTTGAAAAAAAGACACTGAATTGTCTTAATTCTCCTTATGAAGGAGCACTTTAATTAGCTGGTCATATAAATCTATTTTAAAACATGGAAAGAATAAATGACGATGATGATGTCCTCTTTCTGTGATGAAAAATGTTTTAGGGACATACCAGCCTGGAATTATAGTAAGGACTGCCAAATTAGAGTACCCAAAATAGTTGTGTATATGAAGTTAAGCATGTTACAGAATTGCTGTTGATCACATGGCCCTGAAAAACTTGAGATAACAATATCAGGCTAATGTCACTCCACACACTGATTAAGGATTTATTTGGTAAAACAGCAAAAAAAAAATCAACCCACAAATATCTATCAAAGAAGCACTGGAAACCAACAGTGGGTGTAGAAAAAAACATTTCATAAATGAGATTTGAAGGAGCAGGGTTCGTA